AATTATTGCGTAGCGTAATTTACGTTTGTCGATTCGCGAAGCTTTTACCGCGACGTTCGTATATCTTAGCGTCCGATTACAACTATGCCGAGTCGCTAGTATTACGTGAACTTCAACGTACACACTTCTCTGAAGAAATTACAAGATTACAATCGAATAGAGCTTGTAGTCGCGCCTTTCAACGCCTTAAGCCATTTTTACAGGATGAGATTGTAAGGGTAGGTGGACGCTTGTCCAACTCGCAGTTGAGTTTCGACCAACGGCACCCTATAGTTTTACCGTGCAAAGACCATATCATGAATTTATTAGTCGATTACCATCATAAATTGAATTCGCACGCTGGCCCCGACTTGCTGATGTCGATCTTGCGTCAGAATTATTGGATTCTTTCTGCACGTAGTTTAATACGCAATCGGGTGCACAGATGTATAGCTTGCTTTCGGGCACGCCCCAAGCCGTCATTTCCGGAAATGGCGGAACTTAGATCTTGTAGAGTAATACAATCAGTAAAGCCCTTTACGCACACCGGGTCTGATTTCGCTGGTCCGTTTAAGGTCACGCTCACTCGCGGGCGTGATATAAGATCCACAAAGGCTTACGTCTGCATTTTCGTATGTCTAACTACTCGAGCGGTGCATATAGAACTCGTTGGTGATCTAAGCACATCAGGCTTTATGGGTGCATTTAAAAGATTTCTATCCCGCCGTGGCCCTGTAAGTAAATTATATTCGGATAACGGTACGAACTACGTCGGTGCAAAACGTATTTTATCAGAACTACATGAGCTCTTAGCTAGCTCACATTCTAGCCGAGAACCGCATTGAGTGGTCTCTGAACGTCCCAGCCGCGAGTCATTTTGGGGGCAATTGGGAGACTAATATTAAGAGTCTAAAGAGTCACTTATACCGAGTAATAGGAGATCAAATTTTGTCCTTCGAAGAGCTAAGTACGGTGCTCGCTCAAATTGAATGCGTAATGAATAGCCGCCCACTTTGTCGTACGTTGTCTAGTGACCTCTCGGAACCGCTGGCTCTAACTCCAGCACATTTTTTTAAATTTAACGCCTTTAAAGTATTTGCCCGGCGTAGATATGGATGAGAACAGACTTAGCATTTCCGCACGCCACAAATTATTAGACCGGTTAGTGCAATCCGAGTGCGATGGAATACTTGCATACTTTGCAGTCTCGGCAAAAATGGAACACAGCAACTGAGCCTTTAGCTGTAGGAACTGTAGTTGTGCTCACCAAAGAGAATACGCCGCCTCTCCACTGGCCGTTAGGAATTGTCGGAGAAGTCTTTCCCGGTTCCGACGGAGTAATTAGGGTAGCTCGCGTTAAGACCACGGTTGGGTCTTACCTGCGTCCTGTTGTCCGTTTGTGCCCCCTGCCTCTTCCATAATTTAAATTAGCTTTCTAGATTAGAAATTGTAGTTGAATTTAGGTAATTTTAGCGTTAGTTAGTTATTTTGTTAGTTTGATCTTAGCTCTCGTTGTTTTAGTTATTTTTTTCCTCCCTCTCCCCCGCCCTTGAAGGAGATCCTTCAAGGGCGGGGGAGATGGTTGCGCGGAAAACCATTCGTATTTATTTAATTTGACGGTAGGCTGCCAAATCGGTTATCCCTTTCCAAGCATCATTCATACCCTCCTATTGACACATCGGGGTGGTGGGGTGGAAGGGGAAAGAAGATGATTCTAGAACATCACGTAATCATCGGAACCGAAGATATATAAGGCACGCGCGACCGACGCGCAGCCTCTTCCCGCCGCGCTCGTTATTGGAACCACACCGCTAGTAGAACCGCTTTAGCCTGGAAGCAGTCGAGCTCCAGGAAACCCGCCTCACCTCGTGTGAGATATAGTCGCGCACCGCCTCTCTCCAGAGTGTCTGTGCAGAAGAAGTTCCAGAAATCGCAGCTATAGTGCCCAACAGCATAGAAGACACCCCCGGTGAGTCAATATTCCTAATAATATAGCCTGCTTGATATAACTGTGTTTTAACCCGCTCCAATTTTATTTTCTCCTAATCAAGCAGGATTCCTTTCATCGATTTGGCAAATAATAGTTCGTTTTCTAGGGAAGAGCGAGTGCATTGTACCGCATGCTATAGTCGCCGTTTATATAAGAGTAGAAGCATTTTGTAGATACAGTCCACTTAGATTAATAGCTCGCGTAATAGGTTTAAGGTTCGACCGGGGAATTAGACTTCGGCAACCTTAGGCTCGACGCTCCACCATATATATATATATATATATATATATATATATATATATATATATATATCTATCTATCATATATATATCGGTTGCCAACCCGCTCGCCAAGCGTGGCAACTATGGCAATATACCCCCCATGAAGAATTACACAAATAGACGGCCCCCAGTCCCCGGCGGTCCCGCTATTCCTGGCTACGGTGGCGACCATGGTAACGGCGGGGCAGAGGGTGCTAATCTCCGGTAGAGGTTCAGTTGCCACCTACGACGACTCGACCTGGCAACATCTAACGCACGCACCCTGAGGACTGACGAGAAGATCCTGGGAGCTGGAAGAAGGGATAGACAAGTTGCGCTGGAATATTATAGGATTATCCGAGGTCTGAAGAGAGGGGGAGAACACGGTGATTCTCGAATCCGGCAACTTGTTCTATCACCAGGAGGGCGACCATCTGTCCCAAGGAGGTGTTGGATTTATCGTCCACATGTCTCTCGTTAATAACGTTTTAAAGATTGGGAGTGTATCGACGAGGGTTGCGTACCTTATACTCAGAATCACCAAACGGTATTCGCTGAAGGTCATACAGGTTTACGCGCCAACGTCGGAACATCCCGATGAGGAGGTGGAGGAAATGTATGAGGACATTTCTAAAGCCATGCATTCCTCCAAAACTCACTATACGGTGTTAACGGGAGACTTCAACGCAAAACTGGGCACAAGAAAGAACGGTGAGCTGAAGGTAGGGAAATTTGGGATAGGGCAAAGAAACCCAAGTGGCCAGCAGCTGGCTGACTTCATGGAGAAAGAGGGACTTTTTATGATGAACTCTTTCTTCCAGAAGCGGCCCCAAAGGAAGCGGAAAAGTGAGATTGACTTCATTATAACGACGAGACGCCAACTGTTCAGTGATGTCTCAGTGATCGCGAGGGTGAAAACTGTCAGCGATCATCGAATGGTTAGAGGCACACTGAACCTAAACGTTAAGTTGGAGAAGGTCTCGTCTAATGGACTCCGTACCTGCACTGATCCAGGGTCTCGTAAACTTTTAGCTCGAATTACAAAACCGTTTTCAGTGCCTTGAAGACTGCAATACAGTGGACGATATGAATGACAAGCTCGTGGAAACTGTCCATGCGGTTGGTGCTAATTTCTGCAAGAACCGCCGCAGAAGAACACAAAAACTCTCCGATCACACTCTTAATCTCTTGGCTGTTAGACGGGAAATGAAGCTGCAGTCTTCAGCAGATTTGACAGTGTACAGGCAACTGAATAGACAGATCTAAAAATACATGCGGCGGGATCTACGCAACTTCAATACGGCTCGTATTGAAGAAGCGATTGAGCGGAACCAGGGCTTCAAAGTCTTTGCCAGAGATCTGTCTGCCAGAAAGAGCCAACTGTCAAAAATGAAGACCGAGTGTGGCAGCATCGTTTCCCGGAAACCTGAAAAGATTTTGAGTGAGATTGAGAGGTTCTATAGGCAGCTGTACACGTCATCGTCGAGCCACACGCAAGTGTGAGTAGCAATCCAAGATCAAGTCTTATCCGACACAATTCCGATGATATCCCGGATGTCAGTTTGAGCGAGATTAGAATGGCTCTCCAGCACCATTTAATAATATTAAATATTAAAAACGGCAAGTCCCTGGGTGAGGATGGAATTACAAGTAGCTTGTGAAAGCGGTACTTGCAGTCCTTCAGAAGCTCTTTAATTCCGCCCTCGGTGGTGGCACTACTCCAGAGGCATGGAGCAGAGGCGAGGTGGTGTTGTTCTTCAAGAGAGCGTTGTCATCTTTCTTGAAGAACTACAGACCGATATCATTTCTGTGCCGCATCCACGTGCTGTTTTCGAGAGTCATTACGTATCGTCTCGCACGCAAACTCGACGACTTCTAGCCTCCCGAACAAGCCAGTTTTCGAAAAGGCTTCACCACCATAGAAGCCAACCATAGTAATTTTACTTTCTTTTACCTTTACTTTAAGTAGTTACAGCCGTGGATTGTTACGGGCTGGTAAGGAAGTAGATAGTTTTTGGATGTGGGAATTTTTGTAAAAATTATTTAACTGGCTTAACCTCATAACCTGTTACTTTTACTAGTCCTTACGTTTTGGAAAAGGATCTCTATAGACCACAAATCTATAAAGTGTGTTCAACGAAATCAATTTGCAGTGTAGAATATAAAACTGTATGTAAATTTTAAGACTATACGTGGTAGAGCCACGTTGAAGCATGAATGGGTCGGCTCGACCAGGGTAGGACCACGCTCTTATAGAATACCAGCGTAAAATCGCAGCTTAATACTGCTGTGTTTCGTATGGTGAGTGTAGAGAACCCGAGACCCGTTTTACTGGAATCGAGACATTCCATCTTAATCCTAAAGGGTGACAACGCATTTTGATTCTTAAACGAGATTGAATGTAGATGTTTATAGGCCACAGCATCCATTTACCATCAGGTGGACTGTGTGCTCGTTTGTTACCTTTATCCTATAAAAAAACTATATATTTATAGAGAAACAAAAACAAAGGATATATTGCAAATTAAAGATTAAAAACTCCGAACTACCGGAGTTTGTTTTAGAACTTTCATTTAATAGTTATTAACATACTTACTCAAATCTGTTAAAGGCCGGTTTACACTTTGCGAAGTGTGAAGTGATAAGTATTAAGCGTTAATTTTACGCAAGAAGTCTCAAGTGTTAAGTAGTCTTTTCCATCTCCGTTTACACAGTGTTTAGGAAGAAGCTCAAAGTAGTGGTACTGTCCGTTGTGCATAGTGTCTCTAGAAATGGAAGATGAACAGCGCTTAATATTGAGACAAATATTTAAGGAGATTGTATCTGTTGTGGTATCTGATATAGAAAATGAACTCATTTTTGAAATCCTAGGCCTAAGGCCTAAGAGATTATGGCAAAGAAAATGGATTACCAGACGTTCTCAGTATGGAGCCAGCAATAAACTTATTGAAAAAATTGCTAAGGAAGATCCTGCTGAATTTTACAGATCAATGCGAATGACAGAGTTGCTGACGCACGTTGAGCCCGCCATAAAAAACAGATACTTTTATGAGGAGTGCACTCACGCCAAAAATAAAACTTCAGATAGTGTTGTATTTTCTTGCCACTGGTTCTAGTCTGCGTACTTTGTCACATTTATTCAGAGTATCTAAACCAGCACTAAGTTTAATGATACCGATAGTCTGCGATGCTGTATACAACGCCTTAAAAGATTATATAAAGGTTAGTAAAACACATTAACAAATATTTTATATCGGTTTTATTTTTAGATATAAAATTACAAACATAAAATTGTATTGGAATGCTGTAAATTCCTTATGCAGATTTCACCCAAGCTTGGGTTAACACATCATTTCTATCAACAACAGAAGTAAATGCATTTTCAGAATTTGACTGACTTGTCACAACAGTTTTATTTGTATTTTCAAGATTTCCATAACTCAATGTGGTATTTTCATTGTATGTGTAACCGTTGCTCGAATAATAAGAATTTCTAGAAATGGTTGAAGTTGGAGGAGGCGACATAAAATGTGGTTGTGTTCTGTTTTCTACCATTTCATAAATGAAATTGGATGTTTGAGACTGACGGCGGATATGTTTCAAGCGCAAACCAGAAAGATAATTTTGAATATACTATTGTGCTTCAATTGCTGACTCCATTGGTAAATTTTTCAATTGAACTGCAACCATTCGTCCAAATAAGTCGAATTCATTCTCTGATACAACAGAGCTGTTGACACTGTTGGCTACATTTTGGGCCTTTGTCAGGAAGTTATCATAGTCTCGTAGCATCGTCCTTTTCCGAGGATTTTTCCCTTTGAATGACTGGCCCGAGTCATTGCTTGAGGTTCCAACTCCTGAAGTATTTTCAACAGCCTTCTCGCCTTCAGTGTCTCTTGTCTCAACATTATCTTCATTGATTTTATCTTGAGACTCCAGGCTCTTGCAGATTCCCAGAAGTATAGAAGAATGGAAAAGTATTGAAGAAGGATTCAGTCAAAAATGGAACTTTCCCGGTTGCTGTGGTGCATTAGACGGTAAACACGTCGTACTAAATGCACCAGATGATTCTGGAAGTTATTATTACAATTACAAGAACCAACACAGCATCGTTCTTATGGCATTAGTAGACCATGATTATTGTTTTATTTATTTTGACATTGGATGCAATGGACGAATCAGTGATGGAGGAGTTTTCCGAAACTCCAGCTTGAGCCACGCTCTAGAGAATAATTTTCTACCACCAAACCGTGTGATTGTTGCAGATAATGCTATCCCATTGAAAACGTACCTTATGAAACCATACGGAGGAAATAATTTATCTCTTAAGCAAAAATTGTTAAACTACAGATTATCACGGGCCAGATAGATAGTTGAAAATGCCTTCGGAATATTAGTGTGTAAATTTAGAATTATTATATTATATTATTTATATACACCTATTCTGAAACCCCTCCCATATGCTCCCGCTAAAGCTGATAAAATAGTTAGAACGTGTGTTGCTTTGCACAATTGGCTTAAAAAAACGCAAGGTACTATTCAAAGTGTAACAGTTGATACAGAAAACATCGAAACGGGGAACATCGCACCTGGTTCCTGAAGAGAGTTTCTAGCAACAGGTATAGTAAACATTGATAAACGTTTGCAAAATAGATCATCACAACAAGCTCACAATATACGAGATAGCTATGCAGATTATTTTGTTGGTGAAGGCTCAGTACCCTGGCAGGAAAGAATGGTACATTAATAGCAATCGGTTTCTGAACAATTTCCTACCTAGTAAGTTAGCATATAAGATACTATAAATAAATGTATTCTCAATAATTTTGTGTTTACTTTCACTCTCTCGCTATCGGCCGGCCCCTACCTATTGAAGAATAAATGATATAAGAATAAATTCTAAGCTTTCTTTGCCTACCCGTAGTGCGGTGAAAAAAAAACATAGTACCTATGGAATACTCACCTTATTACTCGATGTTTCTCTGCATTCTCCAACATTTACTGCCTTTAGGGCATCATCCATCACTTTGTACCATTTGATATATGTCACATATATATCATCAAGCCCTGCACCCGATTTAATAGAATCTTTTACTTTTTTGTGCTCTTGGGACAAAGAATATATACACTACGCGAAAAGAAACGACACTTAAGCATGTGTGCACGTAAAGTCGCTTGCGGCTATGTGTGGGTGTCTGGATGTGTGCGGGGCCATTGAGAGACGCGCGGGGCGTGGAACGGGCAGTCGCCGACTGCCCTGGCCGGCCGAGGGCTAGTAGTAATACCGATATTTGTCAGTATTAGTTAATACGAATATATTCGTCAAGTGACGAATATATTCATATTAACTAATTCAAATAACTATTTCAATTAATATATGAATATTACTGATATCTTAATGTACATATTACTATTCTATTCATGTAGGTATTAAGTTTATGTTACCAAGTAACGTTATTAGTTTTTATAGCCGTGTATGCTAGGTTTATATGCTTTGATAAATATTAATATTGTTATTAAATAAATGATATTATAGTATATGTATAAGTATTACTGAAAGTGATTTTAAGTGATTAGAATTAAAATAAATACCACTGCACAAAACAAGGGCCCTTGTTTTGTTAGTTTAATTTTTAATAATGTTTTATGATACCTAAAAATATGTGAACTCATTTTAATGAAAGTTGATATGATCTTAACAAGAATTATGGGGAAATACCATGACAATAAAACTAATATGTCGCCAATAATTTTATTATATTACATTAACTGAAATATACACTATTAAAAATGCCACTAGAGAGTAAAGAAATTTTAGATCTATAAAGAGTTTTTGTATTTGTTCATTGTTGTATTTATGGATTATTTCATTAGAAATAGAAATGACATCTCCTCAACACATAGGGAACAATTTGTTGGCCGCCATGTCCCAGGAAACCTGCATACCTTTGGATTTTCTAAAAAGAATATACATGCTACGAATTTTTGCAATTGTTAGAAATAATAATGAAAATTAAAAAATTTATCGAAAAATTCAAAAATATATAAGAGTAAATAATTTTTAAAGGATAGTAGGTAATACTGATTATTGCGTACTGAAATACTAAGTGTTGGTTAATTATTTAAGATTACCATTAACTGTCGTGCATATTTGGTTTTGTCAGAAGTTTTAATTCCTCATTTAATAAAAGTTGATTTAAAATTGAACGTATCTTTCACTACCCAAATATATAAGTTTACATAATATATAACACATACCTACTATGTATCTTCTTTGGTACAAGTCTATAATATTCCATTTCGGTTCGATATCAACCCTAGCGTTACACGCTTCGACTCAAGGTCACCGGCGCTTAAGCTCTCACGTACAGGGAGTGTCACCGCTGTGCTTGGGAGAAGGTCGATTTCAAGCTTCGTATTTTGTTGTACGCTTCTTTGGGACCGAAGTCGGGAATTTCCATCGCTTCACTCAGTTCCAATAGGACCGTATCTCTCAACTGTTTGTTTTTAAATTCTGCTCACTTTACATTGTATAGACATTCATACTTTATGTATTCTTGTACGAATTTTAAAGTATGTTGTTCCGTCCACTTCATTTTCGCTTTGAACTTGACACTGCGCACTAAACACACACATGTTTACACACTGATTAGTACAGGCGAACTCCGAGAGAGAGAAGTGGAACAGTACAAGGGGGGGAGGTCACTTAACAGCAAAAATAGACCTTGATTCTATTCACTCGCACTAATCAATCAGCACTAATCGCACTTAACACTAATCACTTCACGCTTCCGTTCACACCTTGATTACTAAACACCTGCACTTGACTACTAAACACCTGCAGTGTTAACTTAACAAAGTGTAAACCGGGCTTAAGTGTGAACAAGACGGGAAAAATTTGAATGCCGTAAATGGTATGTAATTTTTCTGCCTGACATATCTCGCGTTCAGCTACTATGTTTATATGTTACGCTTATATTGTTTAATAAGGAATGATTGATAATAAGGAATATTCATTGAAATTGAAAGACTTTCAAATAAAATTGTCGGTACCATATACGCGACACCTAGTGTTAGTTAATTATATGCCTATATCTCGGGCAAGTGCAAGCAATAAGTTGACAAAGTTTTACTGTAATCTGATCAACGGTATGGCAGCGCATAAAATCATTAATTATTTAAAAATTGATCGAACAAACAAACATTAGTTTTTATATATATGTATTAGATATAAATATTTAAAAAAAAACGCTTTCTGGCCTTGACATACATTTCACACACTATTAAAAAGGGAACATCTGAAATCACACAAAATACAAAGGTTAATTAGTCGATCTGTCAGTTATTTGTTGGCAATATTTTAAAATTCTTTGAAGATTAAATCTCTACTCTACGCAATTGTTTGACTACATATTATTAAGTATTTGACATTAGTAGTAGTATTAGTATTTGACTTACACCTGGACTTTAGCTATATGAACGTTAACAAACAGCATAATTTGTCCAAGCGACAATAGCACCCTCGTAATGCTATCACTACGTTTCGGGACCACTTCCGAGACATCGTCTTCCTCGGGGTTACATCCCTAGGGTTCGGGGCCCCCACCGCAAGCGTCTGCAACACCAGAGCCCGGCCGTTTCTGGTCCTGATAGACCCACGGGTACGCCCAATCCGAGCTAGTTTTGAACCGCGGTGATTTCCCGCTACCACCCATCTCTGGGTGGCGTTCCCCTATCCGCTACCGGGTGACGCGCCCTTTGGAGGGAATAGCAACTCCACACCCAATGTATGCTAACCTAAAATGTTGGTGAGTTGTCAAATCCGTCGCTGAGTTATTAAATTAGGTGATTTGTAAATCAGTGCGACAATTAAAAATAATTGTTGTTCTTTATTTGACGCTTTTTTTTTTTGGAATTTTCAGTTGGCATTTAAAAAAAGGTTTATTAGAAGCTTTCTCATTTTTCCGTTGTTTAGTTATAAAATCAGAGGTTGGGTTCCGTGGCCAAAATAAATTCTGTGGCTTAACTTATAATTCCCTGTTAACAAATAAAGGCAATGGAACCTCATACATTTATAGTTCGCAGAGTTGCATGTAGTTCCTCATCGACGTTCTAT